CCACTATGGGCCTTTATCCATTTCATTTTGATGTTAATTCCACTTTGATTTATTATTTGTTTAATATTTAAAGCTGTTGCATTAGTATCAGCAAATTGTTGTAGAGTATCTAAAGCAGATCTGCTATCTGTATTTATTATGATTTGATCAGACATGTGGGTTCTTGTTACCCACATAATTGCTCTTTCGATAGCATAGAGCTCAGCTTGAAAAACCGAGCATGAGTCCATTAATCTATATTGTTCAGTATGAATTTCAGCGTCATTCTGCATTGCCATAAAAGCAGCTCCAACGTGGTTATCCACTCTCGAGCCGTCTGTGAATATTTCTATCGAGCCTTTTTCCCTCTCCTCTGCAATGTTTATGGCTTTTCGATCATACGGCATAGGTAGCATAGCTACTTCGGGCGCTAGATCAATATCTTTATCAGAGTATTCTTGTCCTGCAATTTGAATGTTGTTACGTCTTCTGCAGAGGTATAATTTTGCCTTCTCTTTTAGTATCAAGTCAATGGGTGGTGTTCCAGCCACCACTTGAAGAGCATCTGTCGATGTGGTTTGGTATGCTTTTGTCAGTCGTAAAAGTGCACACCTTTGCGCGCTATTCAATTTCTTTTTGATAGCTTCTTTCTCAGCCGCGTAATACCAGGCCGCCGCTGCATAGGTCAGCCTTGGTATGAGCGCTCCTTTATATATTATTTCGATTGCTTCACTATTAAGTCCCCAAGTTGATCTAGCAACACGAGCTAGAGCATTAAACAAGTTGATGCACTTGTTTCTTGTTGAGATTGTGTGTGGGAGCCAGGTAAGTCTGTTATCAAGGACGATACCAAGGTATTGCAATTGTTTATCCACCCTAATGGTAAAAGCGTGGATTGAATAATTCCATTTAAAATTAACAAATTATATTCTACTCTTTTATTCTTTACAAAAGCTCCTTGAAAAGAAGTAAAAGACAATTTGCCAATATGGTTGAAAACAATTTTCTTAGTACACTAATTAATACTATTGGCTGATAATTACTTGGAACTGATCTACTGCCTTTTTTATATAACATTTTTAAGCTAATTTGTTTAAGTTGCAGGAAATTCACAGTTTGATTTAAATAAATTGAACATATTTAGAATATCATTGAGTATTTCAATGGGAAAATATTTAATCATTTCATTTTGATTATTATCTAAACCTGGTGATGTACAAAGTTTTAGTTTTCTGACTGCATAACCTAATTCTGAATGAGAAATTGTTGGATCATCTAAGAGAGGAATATATATATAGTAGTAGGTATAATTTATTGATGTGATTTATTTGCTGAGAAAGCTGTGGATATAGTAGGAGAGTTTATAAAAAAACATAACTGTATGAGGATCAGAACATGTTCTCTCAGGAAGCTGAGCCAAACCTCATTGGAATTGTGAGGCTCTGGACAGGTCTGAACCTCACTAAAATTCGCGTTAAAATAATTGTTTTAAAGAAAAAATATATAGTAGTTAGAAATAGATTTATTTTATGAAAACGCGAACTTTTAAACAATAGAAGAATGTAAGTCCGTCAACCATTTCCGGTTGGAGATCGAATTAAACTTCGATTTTGACCTCTCCCGCGCCCCCGAAAGGTTTCGAATTGTCATCAGGTGACGAGGAGGGACCAATCGGATAGGGGGAATCTGAGAGAAAATGGATAAAACCCCGGAAATTCAAGGACGCGACAGCTTCTTCTCCCAAAAGTTCCAAGTGACGGATCTGTTGTTGTGTGTGTGTCTTGCACCCATCTTCGTCTCCATCTCCCAACCTAGGATCGACATCTTTCCATCAACGGAAGTCGACCGCATCGTCCCGGAGTCATCAAGACGTGATGGAATGGTTCATTCGCGAACAAGGCACACTCCTTCAAAATGGGACTATCTTGGAAAGGAGAGGAAGACCCAGAGGCCGCAGCCGCCACAGAACTTCCAAGATCACGGAGATCTTG